TCCAAAAGTTTAACCCGTCAACTCGAACCAGAATGGGCCTTTTTGACCCACTGTTGGAAAAAATGGCTTATAGATGGTTAGCATTTCCACTAAAATATGAAGCGCCAAATTTTTCTAACGAGAACCGAATGTAATGAAAAACAAGTAAGAGCAGCGCTGTCTTCGGCTATGCCGAAGGCTTCATACCTTTCATGAACATCTGCAAATTTTACTTTGACAGATTACTGCTTTTGAATACATCTGCATACATCGATAGAGGAGTTACATACCTATATAAAAAATCGCATCTGAACAATCAGAGGTATTGAAGATATACCTTATATTAGCACCAATCTAAGTGATTTTCACTGCTATGTGATCGGTATGTAAACCGGTAACACAATTTATTGGGAAAAAAGTAGACAAACCTTGTTTTCAATATGTAATCCGCAAAAAATCGTAGGAACTCCGTAATTTAATATAACGGTTGATAAGATTATTGCAAAAATTTATTGAGAGCGACATAAATTACCCCAACAACTAAACTTTTAACATTTTTTTATTTCTTTAAATTTCAATAGCATAAACGGATCTGTAGAGAACATAGAGATCCGTGTGATTATGTATGTATATACCTCAGACCTTCTTCTGTTCGCCCATCAATCAGCGCCAGACACTCAACATTTTAATTCAAGTAGGAAGTAACAATATTTAAATTTAAAACTAATTCAATAAAGAAATAAATAGAATTATAATAACAGAATAATTGGCATCGCGAATGCCTAACGCTGACGAGTTGAAATTATAAGATTAGTAGCCTCATGGCTCTTTGAAATCTACCTTATGAGCAATAGCGCCGGCGTTTCCAAACGCGCCGGCGTCGCCGCCGCCGCCAAATATTTTTGAAGTTGACCACGCCGCCGCCGCAAAGCCTGTCGGCGTAAACCTCTAATGTGTACGTACATATATGTCGTGTAAAGAAATGCCTAATAGCCCAGTTATGCAGTCTTAGCGTTGCATGAGAGTTGTCACATAAGAATCTGTTAAATGGGCTTTGCACTTATCATGTAGAATTCTGTTTGGCTTTGATTTTTATGCAAAATGGTATAGCAGTGCATACTGGGCTATAACGCTTTGCTTCCACTTATGTACGCCCACTTATATTTTTCAGTCTTACAATAACCCACAAATTAAGACTCTTAAAAATAAAAGTCCCTGCCGAAGTGTCTTTGCCTAACGGAAATTTTAGCAGTTGATAAATAACCCACAACGGAAAACACAAAAAGATCGCACGGAGTGATATGCCACGGTGAGAAACATTCTTTGCTTGAGAGATGAGTGTTTGTATCAGTGGTAAACACCATACAAGACACTTGGTGACGGTTATTTTCGATCTCTGGTAATAGCTCATATTCAGACAGGTAGTAGGTACACACACACTAGCTTTGTTTCTTTACTTTTCTAGCAGATAATTATCAGGAAGAAGAAGAATGGGAAAAATTACAGAATTACGCTCACAGCGAGTGAAATATATAAATATGTAGTTAAGAAACGCAAACTAGCAGAAACTAGCAAGTGAACATCTGACCAATGCATTTGAAAACTGAAAAAATTTGGTGCAATTTCTTTATCGCCTTTTATGTTTCGAAATTATTCACAAATTCTTACGTTTTGCAACACCTTATCAATATTCAAAATAACTCGCTCATTTTTATAAAAAAAATACCAACCAGCGTTGCCGCGAGCTTGAAAAAAGTATCAAAAGCAAATACAGCTGTTAATTTTTAATCTTTAATTTGAAAAACAAATAATAAATAAAATTTCATTATTAAATCCATAGTTATAAAACAAAATGTATATTATTTGCATAACGAAAAACAAACTTATAGAACCCCTAAACCACACAATTCGTAACCCGAGACTTGCTCGAGTAAATATGTGTAAGAAATATAAATGTGCGTTGTATATTTTGCTAGCTACAGCTTTAAAATGCAAAAAAAGATTATTAAACAATTTTTAATTTTTTTCTACGCTCGTATCCATATTTTACAGCACGATCTGGTCACCAAAATATCAAAGCTAGACTAAAAATTGCGTAGTTGTCGCCAGACGCAACACAAATTATTGTACAATAACACAAGCATGAGCAAAATATCAAAATGATTTTGATTTTAGCGCAATAACTGTGCAATTCGGTACAAACAACCACACAAACGACCGAAGCAAGCCCGATATTGCGCAATGTTTTTGTGTGGTTTAGGGGCCCTATTCCCCTTATAAAATTTACCAAATTAAACTTATAAACAAATATAAAATCTTAAGACTTTAAATAACAAGGAACAAATTATTTGCCTTTAAACTAGTATTATTATTCATAGTTTTCAAAAATTAATTTCTGCCAGCCAAGGTATCAAAATGGGGCATTTGTGAACAAAAAGCAGAGACCCAAAATAATAATTATCTTAATATTTGAGATCAAAAACGTCGCCTTGTTTTAAGCGAAATTTTTTTTCGGCTTTGTGTAATAATTACACAGGTCCACAAAAAAAGCGATGAAAGGTTCCTTTGACCAAACCTAGTCTGTTATATGTTTTTGGGGTCGCTGAACACGAATCTGAAGTCCGTTTTGCTCCATCACGTCTGGATTTTTTCTAACCTCAAAAAACTTTTCCTTTTGGTTGTTGTTGTTTCCGACAGGGTGGGTGTATGATGTATTTTGAAACGAATTTCCGTCATCCGTATCGATGAAGATGGCACAACGCCGAAACCGGTTTGTCTCCAAACCAAATTTGAAAAGGGATGACGGAAATTCGTTCCAAAATACTCAAAAAACTTCTTGGATTTTACGTGACGTGCTACTTGAGACTCCGCAGGACCTGGGTTCGATACTTGGCCCGAGCAACATTTAAAATAGAAAACGTTTCTTCTAACAGAGGTCGCCCTCGAGAAACAATGGCGAACCTTCGAGTGGATTTCAAATACCACAAATTAGAGGTGAAGCTCGGCCAAACACTTGGCAAGAAGTGTAAGCGCCAAAATATTATTATTAATAAGAGCCAGTCGCAGCTAACAGAAATTTTATACTTCGGTAATTACTAAAAAACTAATATAAATAATACTAATTTGAAATTTTAACTGGCTTGCCGAACGAAATTTTGTTAGTAAAAAACTTTTTAATGAACTTTTCTAAATATTTTTGTGTGGAAATTTTTGAAATATAACATATAATTGGTAATCGAAATATCTTAACCGTGTCTTCTAGATTCTTACTGGAGAAGACTGGAATGTTGTAATGTATGATGGAATACTTGCCTATGGAGGAATAAAGACAATTGGAGCATTGGCCTGCATATATTTCATTATTTTATTCATTTGTGGCAACTATATACTTTTAAACGTTTTCTTGGCCATCGCCGTTGATAATCTTGCTGACGCAGATTCTTTAACAACAATAGAAAAAGAAGAAGAGATAGATGATGGAAAAAATAACAAGTCACATAGTCCGACTCCAACTATTGATGGTGCGGACGACGAGAATATGGATATTGAGGTTGATTTGGGAGGACATTGTATAGATATGGATAAGTTGTAAGTACGATTTTTTCTTGGCCTAAGGGCATTTCCTTTAAAACGAACTATTACAATGTATTGCATATTGCCGTTTATTTAAAATTTGGAACATCATTCTCCTTTTTAACATGTTTATTTACCGCAAAACTAAACAGAGATGACGAGACCTTTTCCGAAGAGGAAGATAACGAGATCTGCGATGAAGAACAAGATGGTAAGTGTTCGTAACGTTTATTTTATATTAATAAAATTAGATTACAACTAAGACCTAAGCTAATTATTAATTAAAAACATTTTTTATTTAAGTATGTAGGTAGATTACAGGGCAAATAAAAGATGGAATTATGGGAATATTTATGAAATGCCTGATAATCGAAATAACTTCATTATAACATTATAACATATGTATATCACATTCCTACATTAGCACATGTGTATTAATATATAACCACTTATGTTACATACAATACATACATACATATCTGAAAAGAAAGCTTTCCCAACTAACTTTCTTCAAATTAAAAGCTTTAAACCCTACCCATTCTCATACAATCCTCATTAACAATGTTTAGAATCCCGATCCGAAGTAACACCGCGAGCAACTGCACGACCCCGGCGACTTTCTGAAATCAGCATTAAGAAGACTAAAAAACCAATGCCACGTGGAAGTTCGTTTTTTATATTAAGTAACACGAACAGGTAACTTAAAAGATAAAATAAACTCTCTTGCCTTTGCATGCATTTTTACGAACTTATAATCGTACTAGCACGCACACAAACATGCAAATACTTAAAACCACTTTACTGCATATAACGAGTTACCCAAAGCGTAATATTTATTTTATCACTCAAAGAAGCATTTCGCTTGTTTGACACATTCATATAGCAAAATAGTCCTGACAGGTCAAATCTGGCAACTATCTTTCAACTCACCACAGACCAAGGCACATTGAACAGGTATTATTAGTACAGAAGCTGATTTGATTTTTTTCAAATTATTTGGTCTCGAAAATGTCAAATATTTTTACGTTCTTCTCACAAAAACTTTCAATTGTTAAAATCTATTTGTATATGAAACCTTTTTCCATACAAAATAAGCGATTGAATAGCAGCTTTTGGAACGTTAACTCAACTCTGCAGCACAACCGCTGATTTCTGGACCTTGCAAAGGATGGATCAATGCCTCGAGAAGCAAACAAACTTACTAAGAAAGAAAGTTGCAACAATTTTTATTTTTTCGAATTAAAATTTTTTATTTATCATTTCTTTATTTCACATGGCACGCTTTGATTTAGAAGAAAATAACCAGAACAGTTTTTGACACTTTCGATAACAGAAGCCACAACGAAATACACGCAAATGTTGTTTTTGCTCTAATGCTACTACCTGTTTGATGTGCCTTGCCACATATCTTCTTTCTTCTTCTTTTTCCGCCACTGATGTGAAGAGTTAGACGTCTTTTTAATTTGACCTTATTTGGAAAGTTGACCCCTACCCAACTTCTTTTTCCGCCACTGATGTGAACGAAGGGAATAGAGATTGAAAAATCAATACAAATCAGCACATATTTCGGGAAAATAAGGACATTTGCGTACTGAATTGGGAGTAGAACATTTTCAGTACAGCAAGTGAAAATTCAGTACTGTCCTTACCAAATCGGTACGTCTGGCAACCGTACCTTAAGGTCGTCCTCTTGGTTTAAATACTGGCATTGTTTTTATTCCGCATAAAATATTTTGTGTAAATGACGGTCCACGAGCATAATCATTTTCTTCCATTTCAGAAGATGACTCAATGATATTGGAGCGTTTTCTTTGTGGATTATGAACGTTGAACTGGCTATTGGAATTTCTTCGTCACTTGAAGCACTATCTTCTATAAATTGTGAAGTACCTGGAGTCGAATAATTCATTCCTTGAGGTGAATCCGATTGTTGGAATAGAGAGTGACTCGTATTTGGACCACTTTTTGGAGTGTCTTTATTATTATCATGTGTATCAAGCCTGCAATCGCTTTCTCCTTCCACATCAACAAGATTCTTGCCTGCATTATTTTTCACTAGTTCATTGAATTTACTTATTCCCAGTACTAAAACATCTTCATTGTCCTCCCAAGCTGTTTGCATATCTACTATGCTCTTCATACGTAGCAAATAGCGATCGCATTAGTTTGAGGGCAGCATATTTCTATACTTCTAAAGCTGCGTCAGTAGTTTTTTTTTGAGAGATGCGAGATTCTGTAATACAAACTGGTTGTTCGGCGTAATTTACGGGTTGTAGAAATACTCGCTGGTGGCCGCTGTGGTGTAGTGTTAAGCAGTGGGCGCTTCCACTCCGCAGCGCCTGAGTTCAAGCCCTGGAGCAACATCGCAAAAAAATGTAGAAGAAAGTTTTTTTCTTAACGGNTGACTTTTTTTTTTATTTAACACATACCAAATAATAATAATTAAGTCACAAATCTTATTACAAAATTTTATATTTAAGTTTTTCAGTTCAACAAAAATTGCACTTAAAAATAGGTAAATAGTAATTATTGCACTTGCTAAAACATGTGTTAAATTCGAAAGCTCACAGATATGCGAATATTTGGAACAAAACAAAAACGAAAACAGAAAAGACCCCGTTAGGAAATAAATTTTCAATAAAACAAACAAAATTTGGAGAATTCTGAATTTAAAAATTTCGCTAAAGCGCCGCTAGATTGACCATTTCTCCCACTGTGCGGCGGTCGCCCCTCAGCAGGCAATGGTAAACCTCCGAGTGTATTTCTGCCATGAAAAACAGCTTCTCATAAAAATACAATCGCCGTTCGGAGTCGGCGTAAAACTGTAAGTTCCCCCCCTTTGTGTGACAACATCAAGGCGCACACCACAAATCATAGAAGAAGCTCGGCCAAACACTAACATATGCGTAAGCGCCAATCTATTATTATTATTATTATTATTATTATTATTATTAGAAATACTTTGTGTGTCTTGAAATAGTACCTTCTTCCATCGTTCACAACATCGTTCAAAGATATCCACGATCAACTCCTGGCGAACAGAAAATATGTATGTGACGACAAGGAAGTTCCATTGAGGCTCTCCAGGTACGACATTTGTCAATTCTGGCAACTATGTTGAATGCTCTTTTCTGTATTCCGAAAGATTAATTGAAAGGCCTGCTGTCTTCTGTCTGAGCAGATGTCAACCTCCCTTACCGCCATTGCGCCTAACAGAAGGCAATCGACTGCTTCCTTAATAGCAGCAACCTCCGCCTGTAACAAACTGGAAACTCAAATTTAAGGTTGGTGGAAAGCTCCTTGGGGAAAAAACGCCTCCATCGACCCTCTCTTCGAGCTTTGACCCATCCGTGTAAAAGTTTACCGGTGCCTCGCTCCAACCACAGCCCTCCATCCACTCGTACCTAGATGGGATACGCGTTGAGAAAGAGCTAGCTGGTGCCAGGCAAGGCACGCAGTGATCCATGTTACCCGGAAAGATATCGAGGCCCCCGAGAATACTACAGTGTCCGTGCCCCGAGTCTGCCAAGTAGTCAGTGCCCCTTAGTCTAACCGCCGCCCTTGCTCCGGCCGCTTTACCCGCCATATCTACAGGCGATATGTTAAGCATAACGTTAAGGGCCAGAGTGGGAGCGGTCCTAAGCTCCCCAGTGATCCCAATTAGGGCTGCTCATTGCACTCGCTCCAGCCTGCTAACTACCGTAGCCTTCTCCAGTGGGAGAAAGGCCCCATCTCTTACCTATTGCCCCTCTGCAGCTATATAAAGCCACAGATGTCTTTCCCGCTCTCTCCTCGATATTAGGCTTCCACGACAACTTTCTGTCAAGAATCAAGCCCAAGTACTTGACCCTGTCAGAAAGCGACAGGCGAAAGCCTCCGACAGAGAGAGGAGGGGCGTGGGGCACGTTATACCTCCTATTGAACAAAATGTACTCCGTTTTGCGGGGACTTACAACAAGTCCGCAGTTCGCAGATCATTTGATCACCAGGTTCAAGTAACCCTGGGTTAAGTCGTAGAGGGTTTCGATAAATTTTGCCTTTATTAAAAGTGCCACATCAGCCAAACGTATCAGTAAAAAAAACTTTGACATGGTGGAACAGTAGCCTTCTCCAGTGTGTTCCACAAGACGGGGACGCCATAAGACATAATGGGATTGACTATGGTCTCATAGAACCAGGAAATAACTTGGGAGAAGGCCCAATCTCTTACCTATTGCCCCTCTGCAGCTATAGAAAGCCACAGATGTCTTCGTCGCTCTCTCTTTGATATTAGGCCCCACGACAACTTTTTGTCAAGAATCTAGCTCAAGTACTTGAATCTGCCAGAAAGCGACAGGCGAAAGCCCCCGACAGAGAGAGGAGTGGTATGAGGCCCCTTATACCTCCTATTGAACAAAACGAGCTCCGTTTTACTAGGACTTACAACAAGTGCGCAGTTCGCAGAACATCTGGTCACCAGGTTCATGTAATCTTGAGTTAAGTCGTAGAGGGTATCCTGAAATTTCCCCCTCACTAAAAGTGCCACATAATCTAAACGTAGCAGTAAAAAACACTTTAACATGGTGGAACAGTTCAGTTTATAGCAAGTATTTTTGATTTAAATATTTGAAAATATTTTTATTTTTAAAATAATAAAATAAAAAAATTAAGAAACCTAAATTAACAAAAGAAAAACATTATGAAAACCTTTTTCACAAGCCCAAGGCCGATAATTTAATAAAACTCAAATTTTCGTTCTAATATTAATTTTAATTGTTCGACTTCAAATTGACCTCAGAAACTCCTGATTGTGCCCGGTCGAAAAAAATAAAACAAAAACATTAAATTAAAGAAGAAAAAATATAAATATATATATTAAATATAAAGAAAAAAACTTCCACCGCCCGTGGATTCGAACCTCAGATCTCTCGACCGGCACGCCAGTGCTTTGCTCACTCAGCCATTGCGACTGTTGGAGTAGAGCTAGCAAACTGATATTCATACTTATTCACCTCCATTAGGAACATGCTGAAAAAAGCTCTCTCACTCACCACTCGTGGTAAAGAGCTATTTTGACTGAAATCACTTGTATATCAATTAGCTCGCGTCAGTGGCGTAGGCAGGATTTCGCGAAAGGGGCAGAAAAACTTCAGCGATAGCTTAAAGGTGGGGTTGAGGGTCCTCAATGGCTAGAGGCGTCGCACAGTGGTCCAATCTGCTCTATTAGGGGAATTTAATTATTATACTAAGAACTAAGATAGATATCGGGATGCAATTTTGCACAAATTATGTCGGTATGACTAACAACTTCTGCTCATAAAATGGGCAAGATCGAATGGCGACCACGCCTACCAACCATATAATTAAAAAATCGTAAAATTTTTCGTCAATTTCTGGTACATTTTTTAAGCACTTGCGCTCGGTTATAAATACCTGCATACCTAAAACTTTTTTAACTATTTGGGATGAATTAAAAATATAAAGTTCGTTATGTATATACTGTATTGACGCCGAATACGAATCAGCCCCTAATATATGTATAAAATAAAGAAATTGCTAAAAGGTCAGATCAAGCTTGACAACTTTTAGGGCCGTTTCCTCATCTAACCTTTAGATTACCGGCCACTTTATCGTCTCGATATACGAGTTTTCGTTTTCTCATCAGCGCATTAATTTCTCGAATTGATAAATTGCTGTTCACCCGATGCAACCTCTAA